AATATCTCATAACGCCTGGACGATAGACACGTTTAGTAATTCATGAACTAAGATGGGATGTTTTTGTGGGCATATCCACCGTATCATGATCCCGTTGTTCGACTATGGGAAGTTGGGGAATACAAAAGGCTGAGAAAATTTGTCGAAAGATTGAATTGAAATGTGATTCTTGAGCACTTTTTTTGCCATTACATAGTCTTTGGTGTGTGATTTCCCCGAGATCAAATTCTTCGGCTTGGGGTATTCAACGACAGATCAAGAGTTCAAAAATCAATGAGAGCGAATAGATTTATGACAATGACATTCCTGGAGACGGGATGAATATAGTGGCAATTGGGTTCAGTTCTCAGATATTGAACGGGCAAGAATTTGCGCATGGAACTACCTAAACCATTCGCACGTAATCAAATGACTTTGGGTATTGAAAACCTGGTCATAAGGTTGCTGGATCTACCATTCAAAATAGACAGCAAGCCCTGGGGAATGGATATCACGGACAACTTCAGAAGAAGAATCAAACATCTCAAAAGTCCTGAAGCGCCGAGGACAGTTCAGTTCAGTGAATCTTCGCCATCAGAGTGTCATTGTTCACTAGTCACTTGTCACGGAGCCACTGCCAGAGCCTCTTTCTTCCCTTCATACTATGATAGGCATAGTAATGCCAACAAGCAGACTAAACGTGCAGGGGTTAGCGACATGCAACAAATTCCATTTATGATTAAGGTTCGTGATTCAGCTGTGCGCAGAAGGAATATTAACGCGAGTTAACATCAACTAGTACTAGCTAAGATAAACCAAGAGTAACTCAAAAGCTGCAAGGGTTAGCGACGTGCAACAGATATCATTTAGGGTTTTAGTTGAGGGTTGGTCGCGTAAGCTTGAGTTTAAGTTGAAGAGACCAATCACCGCCAAAATGAGACTAACAATGACTTAAAAGACTACAGGGGTGTTGCGATGTGCAACAAACAGCATTTAGTCAAAGCTAAAATAAGAACTAAGAACCAACCCCTACTAGAATGAGAATAACAATGACTACAAGTTTGCAAGGGTCGTCGAGGTATATGCCATATGACATGTCAAAGCCCTAAACTTTAACATCACATCACGATGATGATGATATCATGTACCAGCACTACCCCAAGAAAAACACGTGTACATGAATGAGTTCACTCTACATCTAGCCCCTTGACTCTGATGAATCAGAAAGAGTTCATGCCGACTCAAACGATTATCAATCACAGGTAAGCAATTTGGGTTTTGCTAGGCTAGATGCAGGTGAAGACAATGTAGGTACTCTCCAACATATTAATGCGAGTTCCACCTCTTCTGTATTCGACAGTGGGTCAATAATTCTTACTTCAATCCCCGCGATAGTTCACCTCAGAATAGGCCCGGAAATATATGCGTGGGTCATAATGATTCCAGATTGATTGAAGATCTCAGAATCGTGCAGCCGTGTTCTGCAATTCAATCAGATTGATGGCACACCAATGAGATAGAACTGATAGCTCTGCTCCTGCCTCCATTTCATACCATAGCCAGGTGATCTGAAAGTTACAATTTACACTAGATGGGTGAGCCCTTTGAGGTACTCTTGTTTGGATAGTATCAAGCGGCAATCCTCTTCAAACTTTCAAAGATTCATCATTAGACGGAGGGGAAATTAGAATAGGTGGGAATTTTTGATGCCAGTATACTTGTAGCTGGAATTTGACCAGTAGTACAGGACGTTTTCTCTCCGCAGCCGTTCCATTCGAGTGGAGAATGTGCTATTGCTTCAATCCTAGGTAAAATCATAGCACGCAGAGTAAAGCCATGAGAATCATGTAGAATAGTTTGTGCTTAAAGAATTTCTAATTCTGACAAACGTCATGTACGTGGGGAAAGCTTTCTTTTCATGACACTTCCTTGTGTATATAGGAAGGGAGGTACTTCTTGGTGTATCATGCCAGAAGGAAACCTTTCAGGATCATGTTCAAACATTGTATCTGATAGACCATTGTGCAAGAACCTTGAGTGGTTACTTTTCACTCGAGCAATGAAAACTTTGAGCTTGAAAATGTAATATAGGGAAGTAAAACTTTGATACCGTAGAACTTTGGAGATTCATTGTATTGAATTCAGGGACACAAAATTCTTGACAAGACCAAATAATAAATCGCGCGCTTACCTAAGCACTTCAGCACGCTATCGCGTTACGTCGCGTCCAAAACTAGGTTAGTGGAAGCCCCCGCCAAAATCTCGATACAGCATATCGTACACAAATTCGAGTTTCGCATCACAATATTTCTGTGTTTCTGCCCAAGTAATACTTTAATCACTCAATGCTCATTTATTTTCGAGAGCGAAATCCTATATTCTAGCTTTTCGAGGCAATTAAAATACAGAAGTCGAGGCGATAAGGTCTTTTAGCGCATAAGCCCTCGAATTATCACAGACAAGACGCACGGAACGTCACGACACGAATCGAACGAATAACAACATTGAAATACTCGCTGTCATCGAGAAATAATGGCGAGGCTAAATAATACGCTTATTGTCTACAAACGTAAACCCTACAAGCCGGTTCCGAGTTTGGTTGCTGCACACCGACAAAATACGCTCGAGTCAAGGAAAGGGAATGGTATGGAGAATGGTGCAGTTGCAAACAAGGGCAAACAAGCAACTACACCGGGAGAGAGTTCTGTTCAAAAGCCCTCTCGAACGGTCAATCAACTGAACAATATGGTTGGTTCGAGGGCACCCGTTGCGCAAATGATTGCGAGCACAGCAGACATAGAGGAAACCAATAAGAGTTCGACAGTGCGGGTAATGACTGAACCCAAAGCACATGTAGAGGAAAGAGCGGATGGCGAGAGAGATGGCCAGAAGGACAAAGGGGATAACGAAGCTGGAGTTCAGAACAAGCCTCAGCAAGAAGTGGCACTTCCGAATTCGTTGCAGTCTCGAGGACCATCAACGCCGGCTAAGAAAACATTTGCGAAGAAGACTGCCGAGTTACAAAATTCGCGACTTCGCCAAGAGAAAAGAACGCCGCTCAGTAGGTTGAAAAAGGCACAACAACCAACTCCGGTCAACAAAGCAGGATTGACAGAGGATGTAACAGCAGAAAAAGATACTCCTCGCGCCGGAGGAAGTCGAAGAAAGTTGGCTGATGCAATGCTAACATCCGGTAAAGAAGCTGAAGTTGTAGCTTCAGCAAAGAAGCCAAAGCCTAGCGGCAATCCAAGTGGCAATCCAAAAGCTATGGCCGAGGTACTCGCTCCTGTCGAACAAGCCATAGAACTCACTCCTGTAGTCGAACAGACCAAGGAACCGAGTCCTCTAGCCGAACAAACCAAGGAATCCAGTCCTGTAGCCGAACAAACCAAGGAACCCAGTCCTGTAGCCGAACAACCCAAGGAACCTACTCCTGCAGTCGAAGAAGCCAAGGGACTCACTTCTATAGTCGAGCAGGCCGAAGATGAGAATGGTTCAGAGGAAGAAAATGTGACCGAGACTATAGCCAAAAACTCTTATCAGCCGGATGTAGTGCACCAATCTCGGTTGGATGGCGAGAATAAAAAGCAATGGCTTATAGAGTGGAAAGGATATCCAAAACAAAAAGATTGGACTTGGGAGTCAGTTGAGATGTTGCGGGAGGATTGCCCAGAATGGGTCGAGGAAAAGGAGAATGGTTCGTTGAATGGAGACGCTGATGTTCACGAGGTCGAGGCAATTCTGGATAAGCGGAAGGTTAGGGGCAAGGTTCAATATCGTGTGAAGTGGGAGGGTTGGGAAGCCAATTATAATACATGGGAACCTGCGGAAATGCTGGAATGTGATGTTCCGTACATGGTGGAGAATTTTGAAAAGGAGCTAAAGAAGACTGAGAAGAAACGAAGTGCAGGCAAAGCAGATATGGATGGAGAGCTACCTGTGGCAAGGAAAAGAGGCCGACCTAGAAAGTGAGGGACACTTGACTTTGTATTCAGATTTTATGAAAGATCTCTCAGCGTGTGAATTGATTGGTTAATGGATGGGTCATTTTCAGTTGGAGTTTGTAGGACAACGATCACTCTGAGTGGAGTTCACAGAGCGGATGAGATGTAAAATACCCAAGCGAGATTTTTCGGGTTTGCGTTTGTTTTGTCTAGGTATCTTATGTTTCATTGTTGGTTATAACGCATACAGATGTCTATGAAGTCTCTCACTTATATTCCGTTGATTAAAAATATAAATTGTTCCTATTTACGAATCTCTTCATACATATTACCACCAATGTTGAAAAAGCTTTACAAATGAGGATTGCCTCATAGTTGGCTCCTTTAGCGAGAACTAATGATTTCTCAAGGGGTCGATGACGCAAATTAGTATTAGTCGCAATATGCTCTGAAGCCTAAATTTCTTTCTCCATAGTCCTCACTGCTTTCGTTTCTCCATTATTGCCTACCTACTCACACATCACCAAGAAATCGCTCAATATGAACAGCCTTGACCCATGCAACTGATTTATAGCCTCTTATTCAAACGAGAACCTCCACAACCATACTCTGACGAAATATCTAACGCAATTTGTCGATTCTGTATACTTACGCGCCGTATACAAACCTATCCGGTGATGGTGCATGCGTATCTTGAGAGAACTGCGGCCCTAGTACCACACAAGATCGATTGAGGACTCAATTGTGTATATCCAATGTGGATAGACATATTGTCGTTAGTTTAGTACGTCTTACAGAGGTTTTAAGGCAGTAACGCGACTTAGCTCTTAGTCCTGGACGTAAAATAACAACAATCACAATATGCAGGGCAGGTGGACATCTAATGCCTTAGGCACCCAGCCACTACACAGAAGGTATCGGCTTCGCTACCGAGGTAACCTCCGGTTCTTTCGACTATTTAATCGTCCTTTATGATTGATTGATGGAGTAATATTAATTTTATATCCTCGTATTTAATATACTATTGGGTACTTAGACATCAATCATCTCATTACTACATACTACAGTAATATTATTATGTCACAGAAAGTTAGAATTAAGGATCCCAATCTACAAGTCCAAAGTTGGACGCGATGCAAGCTTCCAGTCGAAATGCCCTTACCGGCAAGAGTATCGAAGAATTATATTGAAGACCTTCCAGAAATCTGGCATGAATCATTAACTGGTCTCATGTACGCTCCAGGTTTTCTGAGGTCCAGATGTGCTCGAAACGTTAAGAATCCGGAAGAAGTGCTTTTTGCTATCGGTTAGTTGTAAATTTCTCGACCTTTTAGGAGCTTAATCTGATATCAGTGCAGAATGGGAGGATGACGCCTCGTTCAAAGCGTTTTTGAAATCCCCAGCCTATCCGCTATATTTACAAGGATTTGGATTTCGTGACTCACAGAATCCCGACGCTATGGTTTCCCTCTTTCCCTCCTTCGATGTGTGTACGTTTAGCCCTGGGGGGCGGGTAACGGTATTCATTCATAGCTTTAAGTATCCAGCTACTGAACAAAATCGTCACGATGTAAGGGATGCGCAAGGACTTCTTATTAGCAGAAGATTTGGCACGTTAGGGGTTCCATGTCAGCATGCGTGGATTCGACAGCCGCAGATGGGAGATGATGGAAGATTGGTGGAAAAAGGAGTGGTGGTACAGGCTTGGCCTAATACAGAGCCACCAGTTATTTTCGAAGCTGTGGATCAAGATGAGAATGCGAGAGATAACTTGAGAAAGCAGGTTAGGAGGATCAATCCTATAAATATGGAGGAGATAACATGGCATGTAGCAAAAGTTGAAAACGAGGATGAGGATCAGGATGAGGACGAGGATCAGAATGAGGATGAGGATGGGAAGGATAAGAATGTGAATATGATGGATTAAGCACTTGATAAAGTTTATAAGGTAAGACCAGAAAGACCTTGATGATGCATTCATATTTGAACTTTACAGATTAAGTTCGAGGTGTCAACATGGCAGTGCTTTCTATAATTTGTTCGCTCATTGATTAATTGAGTCCTGCGTTATGATAGATCCGAAACTGCTAGTATATTGTATTCTGATATTAGCAGACCGACTAATGGCCGGTGCATTGATTACAAGAAAACAAAGATCTACTTGCAAATCACTTATCCGGCTCATGATGCTTAGATTTTCTATACACATGCTTTTGATCGTGATAAAGATGGATCAGATAAATGTAATAAAATATGCCCATTGACGATTCAGACATCAAAGAAACTCTCATCGCAATATCGACCAGTATTCTTCCACCAATTGTGACATTAACCGAAACCAGTGCCGGGACGGTGTATGATCGTACAATTCACCCACCACCATGGCCATACACTAATCCAACACCGACCACAAGATCAAGTGGTAGTCCTCCACCCTTGCTCTCTTCCACCTCATTTGCAGCAAGCTCAACATGTACGAAGGATTGTGGTTCTCCCTGCAGAGGACTATTCTGCAACATGCCTTGCCTTTTCGACTGCGTGAAACTTCCAGATCCTGACTGGTGGGACATGAAAGACCCCCATAACCCCTGGGGGCCTGAAAGAACACCATAAAAGCCTGAAGATACCGAATGCACCACCACTAGTGCAAGCAGCTGTTGGACCGAATGTTTAGCTTCTAGCACAACAAGCACGTGTACATCTTCTTGCTCTATCAGCTATGGTTGCTCTGTGACTGCAACCTCAACTCTGGGAACGTATACACTTGCCCCATTCGGATATTGGACGGTGGATTCCTTTGACCGGGCTTCGGATTTAGATGCTGCATACGCCAGCTCTGTTTATGCAGATGTAATCTCAGAGTTGGCGGATTGGTTTCCTGAAACCGAAACCGTAACCGTTACACCTGTATCAACCACGACAATATCAGATGTCACCGCGCGAGAGTAAGTAATTTGCCATATGTAGTCACGTAGTCTTGGGGTAGCCTGCACACTTTATGCTAGACCCTCTCGATCCCTACGAATGAAGTGCTGAAAAAGTGCTTTGGAAAAATGTAGACGATCAAAATGGGATCAGCTTGCCTGTTTATCATATACCTACTAAGTATTCAGGGCAGATATCATCTTTGAAATGAAGTTTACAATATCCTCCCCCCTACAAGGAAAAAAAAACACAGGAAAAACGTAATCAGGATAGCTCACTCATATAATCAATTGAGCCCTTTATGAACTAGCTCTTTACAATAACTATATTGTAGATTGCAGACAGAATGAAAAAAAAAAGAGAACATAGAAAACAGAAGCGATTAATTTTAATGTTTTATATTCAACTCAACTATCGACTCTTACATCTCGAACTAAGTACTTCCCAAATGTATTCTCTATCACCTCCTAGTACACAAGAATTACATCCCCCATGTTCACACTCATCATACAGAGACCGATATCATATCCGCCACCATCATCAGTACCAATACCAAATACTAATAAGTATTTCCCACCTCCCGCGCGAATGCCGCCATCCATCCAAATGTATGCAGCCAGCCGGAATCCACAATCCCCATACCAATACAGCCAAAGTCCTCCAGTCCAGAAAAAGACAAAAAACACAAGCACACAGCCAAAGATAAACACCACAGAATACAAATCTCCACAAGAAATCAAAAACAGAAACAAACAAATCTCTCAATCCCATACATACAACCCAAAACCCTGTCCATCTATAAACCTTTTCCCTCAAAAGTTAAAATCAACCAGCACCCGCAGTGCATACGCATATTCAAACAAGAAAACACGAAAAAATAACAAGGAAAAAAGTGTGAAGGCAGAGAGGTAGATAGCAAGCTATGTGACCAAACCACCGAGAACGAACAAATCCATCATATCATAACACATAGCCGCTCATGAACAAGAAACAGAAAGATGCAATCCGGCTTGCAATCTTTTATCCAAGTTCTCCGGGGAAAGAGCCGCAAAAGAAACACCATCATAACGCGTGGGATTGGATACAAATAATCCAATCCACTAAACTACCAATAATGCAAGCAGAGGAAATGCAAACGCAAACGATTGTACGAATAGTGATACAGAAATCCACCCTCTTACTTTTCCGTCTCTGAAATTGAAGTAAACAGTCGAAACTTTTGTTTCCTTTTGCTTTTGTTTTTGATGAAGAGAACATAGGAAATCGAGTCGTGACATCATAGATCGTCATAGTGGGGAGCTCTCAGAAAGAGCTGAATATTTTTGGAAAGGAAAAAATGAGTGTCCAAGTGTTGGTGGTGGTAATAGGTAAGTAATTTGGTACAAAAATGTACAATTACACAATAGTGTGTATGGTATATCAATCGACATTATACTTTAAAGAGCACAATTTATTTTGGTAAGGTTGTTGGAGGAGCGGGGAATAGATTATAACTTCCTCTGCGCTTACCAGCCGTAGTGGCATTGGTCAATGTGCTGGATCTTGATCTTGATCGTTCTTGAACGGTCTTTTCAGTAACGATCGGTGCAGAAATCTTTCTTCCATGATTGGACATGAAGGACTCGACCGAGGCGGGAGCGTATAATTCTCGAGAGAGAGCAGATCTTAGACGTGGTCTTGGAGGCGAATCGGTAAAGCTCTCAGCCACAGGACTTAGAATGCTAGATGCTGCATCGGGAACGCCTGTGGAAATTGGAGGGGGAGGTTGAGCGAAAAACTGAGCGTTTTTGGACGACCTACGCGCTTGATTGGCATGAGTTTGCATTCCAGTAACTTCAGAAGGCTGCTCATTGTCGTCAAGTTTTAAACCGGAAACCTTGGTAATAAGCTCTGGGTCAGATGTTGTAGTGGCAAGTGCTCCTAGTGTTCTACTGTCACGCTTGGGACGAAGAGATGGAACAAGATCGGGCAAGGAAGAAGCGGATCCGATACTTCTGTGAGCTTTGCTCATGCTTCCTGCTTGGAAAATAAGTAGAGCTGAGTCTTGACTGGATCGATTGTAGCGGCTACTAACAGTGCTGCTTCTGAGGCTATTATGTGAATAAGTCGAAGAACGATAAGAATTGGTACTAGAAAGAGCTTCATCTATTGGCGAAGCGGGTTGTTCATAAGTATCCATGGGAAATATTGAAGCTGATGGGACCTCGTCGTTGTGATATGTGTCGAACAAAGCATCTTGTTCGCTTTGTAAAGGATATCCATCGGAAGGAATGAGGAGAGTTGGAGAAAGATTGAAGCCGTCTGACTCTTTGAACGAAGATGCATGAGAATCAGGTCGCATTTGATTGGGGCGGAAGTAACTGGTTGGTGTAGGGAGAAATGATGAAGCGCTCGATAGATTGGATAACGGAGAGAGTGCGGGAAGATCATATGGGGCAGGGACGAGTAGTGATGGACGAAAGCGACCTGGCGAGACTTCTTGTTCGGCCTGTTCTATTTGAGTAGGTGAAGCAGGTTCTGCTGTGATGACAGGTTTGTTCTCTTCAAATGTTGCATCGAATTCATAATCCCAATCTTCACCACCTTCATCCTCGTAACAAAAATCGATCGCGTCTTCCCAGGAATCAGTAGCCAAGTTAAGCTTAACCGAGCTGTATCTTTTTGAAAATCGTGAGGTATCAATAGACCCAAGTCTTCCTAGCACTGGTGGCATATCAGGCATATCAGGAGCTTGCTCAAGTGCCCTCATCCTCAAACCGGGAACAGATTTTGAAAGTCGTAATTCACCACCGTCGGTGCTTGACTCCCTTGATCGCGTCCTAGTATGTTCGTCCTCTTCGAGAACATCTGCAAGATCGACACCAAAGCTTCCACTTAATGGCGCAGATAAAGGCCATGCTTCCTCGCCAGGTGTAGTGACTGCATGAGACAAATGCTTGACGGATACCTCGGATTCTCTTCTTTCCCATTTAGGGGGTGAAGGATGTGTTTGTGGAGTAAAATCGAACGCAGACTCTTGAAAGCTGGCATTGGCGCCAGCCAAAGCTTGACCGAACTCTAGGGCAGTTGAGTCTTCAACATGACTGAAGAAAGTTGACGCCGCTCTTGACGATGTTCGAGCAGGTGGGTTGACCGGGCAGCGAGGAGATTCAGGAGACCTCATTGGACGTGCAGGTACCGATCGTAGATTATCATGTGACATTGAGTAATTGATAGGTCTCCATGGCTGATTCTGTGGTGGTGATACGGACGCTCGAAATACGGGCCGTCTTTGCGGGGTCACAGGACACGATGGACTCTTTGGGCTTGTGGGACTTCTAGGCGCGTCAACATCCGGCGCATAATCTATTGCTACCGAGGAGAAATTCTCAAACATTAAATCCCTCGCTCTAATACCCTTAAGATTTCCATTGGTTGGAGCTTGAGATGCTCGGAGAGCTGAAAATTCGGACACCAATCTAGTAGGAGGAATTTCCCTGAGGTTTGGTAATTCATTCTGTTGAGTGTGTGTGATGTGCTGAAAGTTATATGGTCCAGAGATGGTATTCTTTCGAGCACGATAACTAGTAGGAGGTGGACTGTGACTAGATGCGTCGCTACGATCTCTATCGGAAGAACCACTTGCAAGAGATAATGAGGAGCCTCCCATTGAAGTATGATTACGTCTAAATTTCTTGCTGCTTCGGGAGAAAATTGTTTTTCCGAATAGATTCAAACTATCGGGTCTATCTTTCGTCGCCATGCTACTGCCGTTTGATCTACCGGAGGACTTTCGTTGTAATTCGATTCTGCTGGAGGAATCAAGACTGGATTGACGGGAGCGGAAAGAGGAAGCTGATGTGATAGAAGGGGTAGTCGATTTGGCAGCAAACGCTGAGCCCCTCCTCATCTGCTCAGTGTATGCGCGAATACCTTGAGGTGAAGGTGGTCCATCAATGGCTGGCTCGAAGAATTCGACAGACGGGTACGTAAGGTGCTTAGAGGTTGGCGGGGTGTTGTCTTTTTTAGACATCTTCCTCTTAGATGATGGACGGTGGTTGTTAGGATATGGCGCTGAGCCCATACCTGCAGATCCTAGACCGAACATATTGGATTGAGAGTTGATTGATAGCTGTCAATGAACCTAATCGACGTTCTGTGGGGAGGATATATATCGAACAATGCGTTGACTACAAGGGAATCCCAACCCGATAAATTAAAAGAAATTGTGCTTATGGCTTCTGCTTCAGAAGACGCAATCATCGATATGGGGCTGATGAGCAGGCTATATCGAGGCACGTTGCAGCCACGATGACGCCTTTTTTGTTTCGGTGTTTGTCGATAAAAAAAAAAGTTGAGGACTTTCAAAAGTCAACAATGAGGGCGGCAGCGTCCAACATAAAAGTGATGGATTGAGGATATCGGAAGACGCTCGGCTGGGGAGATATGGATCAGCGTGTGCCACAAATAAAATAGGCCTGTCAAAACAAGGGTTCTCCCCTTCAGGGTGTTTGTCAAGAAATATGGAGCAGGAAGCGTTTCTTCTTTAGCGATATAATCCAACGTCAGGGGTACTATCCTCGGAACGTTGAATAGCGTTGTGAAGTCTGTGGAGACAATATAATACCACGAGGAAACTAGTGTGCAATCCCCCATAGGACGTGGATACCATCACAATGCTCGCCTTGAGTCGCAGCGTTTGGTTCAACACTTAGCATGTGAGTTATGATGTATATCATATGTTGAGAGCACTGCGTCCCCAGCTTTTTTGTTCGCAGTTGCGATTGGATGAATGACAGTATAGAGGTAGCGAGAAGTATATTGAATCGAGAGTATTTCTTTCGTATCGATCCCCTTGGTGATGCATAATACCAAGGAAGCCGATTTGTCTGTTTTCATGCAACAACGGACGTGTAAATTACCTTGAATGGTGATAGCGACCCGTAGTTGCAGGTAATAACGTATGAATTGGCCAATGAGAGAAAAGCTTTTGGAAAAGAATTAAATTGAAAATGGCCCAAAGGAGGAATTACCAGAATTAAGAG